AGAATGGCGTTGCAATTGAGATGCCGAACAAAGAAGCAGCGTGCAGCCACAGGATGTTGGGTTGATCCTATTGTTCATGTTTTTCTTGCTCGTGCTGCTGGAAGCATGTGACATGTGCCATCACTTTCTCTTCCTTCGTCGTCGCCAGCCATGGATCCATCTTGCCTACGGCAGCGGGCACCGATGTCATGATCAATCTTCTGGATGGCCTCTACACCGGGACGGTTGATGGCTCAATGGTTGAAGTGGCTGTCGTTCTTGCAGTACATGCAGGGGCCAAACTTGCCACTGCTAGTGCTTGCTGCTGCCGTTGCTGCTTACAACGCTGGGCTTACACATGAGAGCACAGCACAACATGTTCAGTGAGAATTCGTCACCTTCACTTGCTGATGATCAGGAAGAAGGAAGGAACTGGGACTTGCAGCCACTGCTTGATTGACGGCAAGCCCACTTTTGCATGCCTGCAACCCGTTGTTCATGATTTTTATCATGGATAAAGTACGAAACCGAAAACAGAACTCGGACAGCCCCTGCTGCTGAGACTTGTGCCGGCAGCTTTGGAAGAAGAGGGGCAAAAATTTGGATTGCAACCAAAGTCAAGTGCATGACTTTGCCACCTGGGAGAAATCTGGGCCGCAGGACGGCTTCGGCACTCGGCTCGCATTTGAATGAGCATCTTCTTGCTGTTCACTAGATCTGAATTTGTCGGGTTTGCACCACACACACACGAACGAACAGCCGGCGAAACAACAAAAACTCACGAAACCAGCTCCCAAAATCGCATCGAGACGAAGAGGTTTCTCTTTGAATACCTTCTGCCCATATGGGTCAGAATTTTGGTAGCTCTTTCCGAGCGTCTGGTTCGATGTCGAAGGCATCTGCTTCTGGCCTCGAAGTTGCCGAAGCTTCTCAATTTGTTCACCTATCTCTGCCTCTTTATGATCAAGAAACTCGCGCCTCTCTTGGAGCGTCTGGTTCCACTTGTCGATCTCCGCGATGTCCTTGTTCATCTCTGCCATGTCGTTCTGAAGCTTCTGCCTTTCACTATGCAGAAACTTGCTTTTCTTTTGGAGCGTCTGGTTCATCTCAGCCATTTCACGATCAATCAACTTGTGATGGCTTTGCAGCGTCTGGTTCTGCTTCTCCATCTCTGCCATGTCATGTTGAAGCTTCTGCTTTTCACTATCCAGAAGCTTGCTTTCATTTTGCAAAGTCTGGTTCCTGTAATCAAGAAACTCGCTCCTCGCTTGGAGATGCTGGTTTGTCTTTTGGAGCGTCTGACTCCAGCGATGAAGCTGCATCTGTGTCCAGCACCCATACATAAGAACAGCCACAACGACCACAATCTGTAGGACCACAATCTGTAGCCAGGAAGACTTCAACCAGGCATTTTGCACAGTTGGATGATTTTGCTGTTCTTGCACTTCATGCGGTTGCTGCTGGGGTTCACGGGATGCCGGCAACCATCTCTGGCGTCACGTATGGATCGTAGTCGTTCCACACTTCGACCGGGTGGGACGAAAACTCGCGAAAGATGTGCTGCGTTTCACGCTGGTGTTCACTCCAGCTGGCTTTTGCTTCTCTCGTTGTCAGACAAACAACAAAGGTGATCCGGCTGCCCAACCTTTGCTTCAAAGTGGCGCAAGGCTCGACGTTTCTCGGGCAATGGCTGGGGTTGAACCACAAGTAGCTGGAGTTCCCAGTGATGATTAGAAGGACAAACGCATGCGTTCTGGTCTCGTCTTCATTGATGGCTTCGTCCACCTGTCGCATGTCCACGGGAAAGTGCTCTGAAAAAAGGAAGCGCTCAATCTGTGCCGCGGGATGATATGGAACAAATTGGGTCAGCGCTTTCTCGGTCCTCAGCACAAACATGGATTTTGAAAGCGAACATGTGGCAAGTGCAAAAGGTTTGCATGGTTATGTGTAAACACATGCGAACCCTGTCACCGTCAAACGAAATGCATTCCTTAGAATCTTAGAACAACGCCGCCACAAAGCCAAAGCGCGTTGAGAAAATCAAACACTTCGATTCCTGCACCATCTTCGCAATGGAGCCGCGCGCTGTAACCCAGTTACTTGGCGGACTGTAAGCCAAACGGCTTGTTCCGCATTGTTCGGCCGGCAGCGTGGCGACCCCTTTGTGTCGTGTTCGATTTGCTTTCATTTTCCATAGCCTGCAGATCTTCAGATGGCGTATACTTCTGGAATAGCCATGATCAGTGGCCAAACAACCATCAGCAAACAATCTGCCTCCAGGCTTTTCCAAGAACGTGCTTCATCAAAGCTATAGTTACACTCATCAGATGGTCACTGGTCTGTGAGGGCTTTCTTTCTTTGGTCTGCTGCTTGATGGAGATCTTCACTGCGACTGTTCACAGCACTTCATCCACCTGCGCCTGCACAGCTTGGCTTCGAACCATGTTGGGCCATTGATGGTTCCAGCGCCAACCTGGCAAAGAATGTAAAACTGACTGCAATACTGACTGCAAGTCAACCAAAGCTTAACTGATCGGCCATTGGCCAACCTTTCATCAGCCGTTGGTCAGCAGTTACCGGCCCTTCCTGACAGCTTATCCCAGGTGATGGGGGCATGATGGCAGCTTTTGATGATCCTCATGTTAGTGATGATGGTGGTGATCATGACAATGAGATAGTAACAGTGATCAGGATATTGATCAGGATAACTGATGATCATGATACTGATCATGATAACGATAGTGACCATAATCATAAACATGATAATGATCATGGTACCAGTAATGACCATGGAGAATGTTGATTAGGCAGGTGTGATGCACATTCAAAGTTCGACTACCATCAGGCCGCGAAAGTGGAAACAACTCCTCGAGATCGTTCCGCTGTTAGTGAAGGATGTCATCATGCATAATTCCAATTGTCACTTGGATCCACTTTTTGCGGAGCGCAACCCTAACTCCTGCAACCTTGCACCAGCCTTGGTCCACGGGAAGTCTGATACTC